CGGTCTTTGAAGGCCTAGCAGCAGCATTCATGGTGATATTCGGAATCAGCATCGTCGACTACCTATAGTCCACTCGGTTTCGTTGAAAAAGCGATTTATCAGTTGGGGTACTTCCCTCGTCAGTACGGTCATTGCACAAATACAATGTTATAAGATTCCAGGTGGCAGCGACGAGCCGATCATGTTGACAATTTCATTCTTTGTATGGTACGATTTTCTCTTCTTTTCTCTTCTCGTCTTATTTCTCTCTCTAACCTATAAATACGAACTATTTTCGTTAGCGGAGGTACATTCGGTAGTTATCTCTTTCTATTGAATAAACATATGGTCATTATCATCTCACAAACATCAACTTACTTGGAATTTTCTGAATAATAGTTATAAAAATTTGGAAAAGGTATACCATACGAAATGACAACGTTAGAAGTTATAACTTATCATGACGACGTTAGTGCTACAGCGACAAAAGAATATCACATATTACAATATCACACGTCTTAGCGATGCAGATATGACACTCATTTCGATTGAAGATAACCATAATGGGACTTCATCATCAATAACATCAATAACAAATGCTATCGGTAGTTTAATAACAAACATGAGTACGATACAGGCTGTTGATGATATATAATTGTTTCTTATCAACGCCAGTCAAAAAACAGCGCGTCAGTTAAAATCGAGATTTATATTTCTGTGTGTTGTTTTATTGAGTAAAACCACAAAGTGCTAGAGAAAACATTGTTTTGACTCTCTGCGGGTGAAAAAGGATGAAGTTAGACCATCCGTTTTTTTCCGCTTTCTGACAAAATGTTTCGCATTTTGAAATTTTTATTCCGTATATCTGACTTAAGCATATGATAACTTTGATCCAGTCAATGTTAAAGTAAGTAAAAATCAACCAAGCAACGTTTGCTATCTCAATCGATTATGATGGAAAATTTCCTTTTTTGTGGGAGTTTTCCTAAAACAACGTATCACACTAATTTTCGTCGTTGTTTTCTGAAAAAAGGCTAAGCACAATCTCTTCGCTTAATTCGGCTTAAATAAACGTCTATGGCAAGCGGCAAGTATCATGCAGAATGTTATTCTGTAACTTAAAGGCTTTATAAACATCATTTTACACGTCTATCCAAATTAAAATATCACAGCACTTCTTTTTATTTTATTTTCTTTATTCTATTAAATTATCCATCATTTTCAAAGAGGTTTTGAGCTCTGCGACGGAGTGTCCTTAAGTGACAGGTTTTTCTGTCGTCATAATCCGAAAATAAGTACTGTAAGCGGTTTTGACAACATTCAAAATATTTTTCAGGATTATTACATACTGTTCATATATGTCCAAACTCTTCACATTGATTGCACTTTCTCTAATGAAGTAGTGCTTTGTATGCTGTAGCTGCACATCTAACTGAACCAATATAACAACAGCCACTATATGTCATTTTCTGCACTTCGACGGGTGGATCGCTATGAAGATCCACCCGTAAACGTTGACTAGGTGTATCGTCTTCGTTGTAAATTTGCATGAGATTTACTGTTGATGGATATCGTTCTTTAATTAGTAAAATAATGTTGACAGTGTTCCGTTGCTTGGCACGTTGTGTATAATGACGGAATAAGAAGTTGGTGTTCTTGTTGGTAATTTAAGTGCATAATTAAGATCACAGATAGTTCGTGGCCATTTTTCTTCATCCAAAAGAGTATCATAAGTATATGTATCATTAGCAAATAATATTAATGTTGCTAGATTATTTGGATGTTGAATACCTTGTTGTTGTAATATTGATTTGTGTGTTGAACTTGACAAGATCATTTAATAATGAAATTTTCAAAGGTTGTTCTGGATGATTAAATTTGACTTTAAATGGTGAAAACTGTAAACGAGATGAATTGTACTGTAAATTGCGGGATGATTGTGAATGTTGTATTGTTCTATTATTAAATTTTACGTAGAGTTTCTGTTGTTGTTGTTGTTGTTGTTGTTAGTAGGACTAAAAGCATAATATGTTCGTGTTGGCACTGAAGGTGATTAAGATTTATTGTTTTGAACGTTAAAATATCAATGCACTGCTGAATTTTCTATAGTTACACTGTTATTGAAGGTTTTCTCGTCTGTAGTTTTACGAATTTTATTCCTCTGTCGTGTGATGATTTGAAAACTGTCATTTG